ACGACGTCGTTTTGATGATTATGTACCACGGTGCACGATATAATTTGCCTAATAATCTAACATTACCTACAAAAATATATAGAAGGGGTTCGATTTCACTTCTTTTTTTAAAAAAAAAAAAAAGTTTAAGGGTTCAATTAGAAGTTTTTGAAGTCCATAGATCTTGCCCATAATATGTTGTAATTCAAAAATTTATTTGACACTTTTCCAAAAATGAAACTATATAAAAAGATAACAATTTTTGCAAATAAATAAAGAATGGGGATGCAAGTGATACCTATATGTCTAAACATGTTAGGCATATATGTCTTTGGTATATTTTATTATGTTTACGACTTACGAGTGCACTTTATTTGACTAGAGGCTTTTTTTTTTTTTTTTTCAATTGTGTTCTTGTTAAAGTGATGATTAAAAGATTAAATCATAGGTATTCAATTATCAATTTTATTACCTTTAAAATAATAATGACTCAAAAGAGAAGTGATTACTGATATTTGAAGCTGTTCAAGTCTTTTATGCCAGACATTGCAACGTAAGTAGTCAAACCTTGATTTCGTGGAGATATGTATGCCTGCGTGGCAAAGTTTGCTACAAGCCTTCTTGTATTTTAAATACTACTAATAGGGTATATATTATGATAATGCACGCAGTCACGCAGAGATCGAGAAATGTGCATCATAATTGGTATATATAATACAAGAAAATAAATTAAGAAAATAGCAAAAAGTACATACCTATAGTAATTGGAGAAAAACTGTCTATCTTGTTGTGTACGAGAATTAGATCATTCCATATTTCAATATTCAAAAATTGATTATTCAATGTTCTATCACCATGATATATATTGTATATAAAGTTTCTATATGTTATGTATGCTGCAAAAGATTTGTTCTCTTTTCCCTTCATATACGCCGGCCATTTTGTTTAATTTAAACTTATAACTCAAAATTGAAGATTTAGTTTTAACTTTAGAAATACTATCCCTTATTTCTGGAAGAAGAAATATGTATGAGATTATAACAGAATCATACTTTATCCATTTACTTAATTTTCAATAATCGTTTCATTTGTACAGTTAAGTTTCTAACAACTCGGGAAAAAAAAAATGTATTGTTAATGACATAAACACTAACAGTACAGAACACGAGCGAGGACGAAGATTTATTAGAATGGAATGCTATTAATTATATATTACGATAACAGCAACATCAACAATACAACAACATATATATGAGAATCAGGTTAGAGATTCAAAAGAGAGGGAGAATCGAGTAGAGATATGCAACTTTTTGGTTTGATCCTATCCTGAAGACCAGGTAGTATTGCTTAGGTGGCCACTACCGCACTACGTAACTTCCATAGCTTAACTAATGACAATAATAATATAATTTAATGTCATAAATATTTGTTATATATATACATGCAAACTATACTTACATTTCACATCCTTACACTCCATAACCACATCTTTCTAGCTCTAATTAAGCTCTCTCTGGGCTATATATGCAAAGTTTGGGATTTAACTTATTGCTTGAGGTACGTAAGTCGTAACTTTAATTTTTGTTTTAATTAATTTATTTTTAATTCCAACTTATTCTTTGTAATAATTAAATTCCATTTTGACATTTTCTGTTCTGGATCTTGCTTTTGTGCAAGTATCTACTAATTTTTATCAACATATGTATAATAAACTTCAAATGGCAATTAATGTGTATTTCTAATACATATATTTTTAGAGTAATTAATATTTATATTAATTAGTTCATCGTGCATGCGTGCGTGCACTGATTTTATTTGTTCTGAATCTCAATAGTTAATTAATTTAGGCAGATCACACAATTAACTAAGGTCTGTGCACCAATTCAATGAATGACTTTGATGGATGTTCGCAATAGTTCCCAAGTTTCTTGCCATTAATTAATTAAGCCATTATGTTAATTAGCATATTAATTAGCTGTTTCACATCTCTTTTGGTGCCTTGAATCTTCATCTTCATATATTTTGTTTGGGTGGTTATACCGAGATGCATTATAAAACCAAACTCATTATTTGTTAGGTCAAAGGACTAATTAAATTTATTATCTTGTGAGGTCAGAATCTAGGTTTTGAAAGTGTGAGAATTTCGCTTTTATTAGCAAAAGAGTAATTAAGTTATAGGTCATGTTTGGTAACATATTTAGCTTATCAGTTAATTTTGATTTATTTGACCAATATTAGTTATTTAATTTGGTTAAAAAAACTATTATAAGTGTTTGATTAATTAACTTTAATTGTGTAACTGTTTATTGTTTCAAAACGCTAGAATCTAGAAAGCTACTCAAAGTAGCTTTTTCGATAAACTTTTTGAGAAAGTTATTTTGCATGTAATTAGTTATCAGCTAACAACTAATTTGTTAAGTATCTTTCTACAATCAACTAATGTTATCAACTAGTAAAACTCACTAACCCAATCAGTTAAAAGCTATTTACTAAACACTTTCATAAACTCTAAATAGATGCATGTAGGAAGAGTTATAGAATTTCTTTTATTTCTAAAAGTAGGAAGTGAAATTTGAGTGTGAAGCTAGGGCTGCTATATATAAATGCATGCGTGGTGGTGCGGGCTTATGGGTTAAATCAAACAAATTAAAGAATAAAGCTTTTACCGTATTGTATAATGCATGCATGCATGCCTGGCTAATAATACAATTATTCTTTCATAATTGTTAGGTAAAAACACGTGATTTACAGTTGTTTTATCGATCAAATACAAAAGCACAGTAATTAATTAAGCAAAGCAAAATTCTTAATTATATGATTAATGCATCATTATTGTGACAAATAGAATACGCTGCACTTCTATATATGAGGACCATGTGGCCGGCATGTTGTACGTGGTGACTCATTCCTCATTATATTATGTATGTAACACTAATTAATTACATTATTATTATGCTAATTTGAACTCAATTTTTGTTATCATTCTTCCATCTTTTCATGCTTTCTACAAGCAAATGCGAGACACAAAGACAACACTATCTTATTTAGTATAGTTCGATCTAGTTAAAATATTATTTTTTACTTTTTACTTTTTTTAAAAAAAAATCTTAATGTTATGTGTTTTATTTTTATTTTTGGTGTTGGGCGGGAATTTTCTGGAAACGAAAAAGGGTAAATTGAAAGGTATGTGTGATCAGGATAGGAAATACTTACACCTCACTTTCATGTACAATGAATTAATGCACTCACAAAGTCACAAGGCCACACTTTAAGTAAACTAGTACATACTAATTACTAGTACTCTCTTTTGTTTTGACTTTTTTTTTTCATTATTTACTATCAAACTTTATAATGTCATATACTAAAAACGGTAGGTTCAAGGGAAATGGACAGTAGCCTTATAAATACATGGTCAAGAATGTGAGCACGTGTTAGCAATAACACCTTTATGAGAGCCGCCGCCCCTGAATGAGACCAGCCCGAGCTAGACTCAAATGGATTAGTGTCACATTCAAAAAAAAAAAAAACCATTAAAAGAGTTGTCGTCTCCAGATAGGGTTTGACACTTGGTTGGATTAGTCTCATTTTGTGTGGATCATCCATTTAGAATGATAACAGAAATCTATCATATATAGTACATAGTAGTTTTCATATTCATTTATTATTTATACATTAGTTGACGTCATGATTAATTTGATTGAATAAAATTATTATAAACATTATAAAATTCGATAGAAAAGGCAATAACTTAATTTTGATTAATTTTAGCATAATTTTAGAGAAGAAATTAAAAATCCCTTTTGTCGAGTCTATCTCCTACGCTACCACCAATCATCAATTGCCAAAGAATTTCTTTTGAAGAGAATGTTATTTTAAATGCATGGACTTACATTGATAATGGAAACTTTTTCTAAAAATAGTGAAAGCATCATTTTGCATTATAAATTTCCACAAATTAAAGAAAAGAAAAGAAAAGCCTTTAATTGATTCCATCTGTCCGCAGCTAACTTAATTGCAATAGACAGAGTCTAGTGTGCATCCAAATCCAAGAATCCAAAGCTCAAAAACAGCCAAGAAAATAGAACCCTTCATGCTCTGGCCTGTCCCATATATACCAGTATTTATGCTTCCATTTCTTTTGCGAATATTCACCCCTTCTTTAATCCCACAATTTTCTTATTCAAATCAAAAGATTCCCCTGCTCATCTTCTTTGCTGTTGAATTTAATGAACACCTTTGAAAATATGTGTATTTTTTGCGGTACAAATTAAGGAATCTTCAAGATAAGTATATAACCATTATTTATGTTGTGCGTTGATAAATGATCACAATTAAGGTAAAAAGTTAAAGAATTTTAAAAATAAAGAAATGTATACCATACTAAAATACAAGATTATTGATATCAATACTAATGAGTATAATAAAACATATCATACATGGTTGTTTATGATATTATCCTAATCATTAAAAAAAAAAAACTCATTATAGAACAAGCTAAGTTAGTGATCATAATAGTGATGTTGTCATTTGTAGTATCTATTCAAACATACTTCCTAAACTTAATGAAGCAACTGACTCTCCACTAAGACTCGATTTCATGACCTCCCACATGGGAGAGGTTACTATATACCATTTGACCTTGAGATCTTAGTTGATTAAGTATTACAAAAAGGTAAATGAGCTTAATTATCCAATCAATTCAAACTAAGAAGACTAAGATTACTGTCAGCTAACACTAATTTACCAAACACTTTCCACAACAGCTAATGTTATCAACTAGTTATACACTCTAATTAACACAATCAGCTAACAGCCATTTATCAAACAGGGCCTAAGTATTACAAAGAGGTAAACTAGCTTAATCAATTCAAATTAAGAGGATTAAGATTTAAACTCGTGATTATAAGTTTGTATCTTTAACCATTTTGAGTGAGGTTATGAATGTTTTTGGAAGATAGTAATAGTGAGCAATCGCTTTCTGCTCCCTTTTAATACACAGAAACAAGAACGCAGCTATGCAATGCTGTTGCTATAAGCTGCTAGGCTACGACTCTATTGCTCTGAGCCTATTATAGTCTGTATGAGTTTTCTCGCAATCCTCACCTCACAGCCTGTATGCGTACCTGTCTTCTTCTTTAAAGGGCTTGATTTTGTCGCATTAATTTAATTCCTGTCCTGTCCTCTCCTCTCCATAATTACATTCTTCATTTTTCATTTCTTTAGTAATACATACAAAATTTTAGGCTCTCCTTCCCGGCTATGGGCGGGGACGGCTTCAACAACTTTCACTTTCTTGTATCGGGCTTTTCGTTTTTCTGGAAATTTGAGCTGTTTTTCTAAAATGGGGTGTTCTTGAATTCACAGATGGGTGTTGAAAAGCGTGTAAAGATTTGACTTTGGATGGTATACATAGGCGAATTGAACTTCTAGCTAGGCCTTTCAGCTCTATATAGTCCGGTTTCTGCATAGCATAGCGCCGCTCGTGCACTGCCCAAAAATCCCTTTTCTTGACTCGCCAGATCTCGAGGTGCCTCCGCTTGCTTGCTTCGTACTTTGGTGGCTGCCTGTGCCTGAATTCGATCTGAAAGTTTTCACCTTTTCTTCGTCCGCCATCTTCTTACCTCTCACTACTTTGATTGGGTCAATACAGAGAACTTGGAGAAAATTGTTGTTTTTGTAGTGTACATATGTATATGTACATGTCAAAGCAGCGGCCACAATCATAGGAGGAGTCGGTGATACTGTTTTATTTTGCCGGTGTCTGTGCAGTGAACTCGAGGTACAAAAAACCAAGTCATCGCTTCGTTTCTGTTTGATTGGTTTATCGCATTATTTTATAGTGTGAACAAGACAATATTATAGTTCGACAGTCTGGGCTTAGTCATTGGTTCCTCGCACAAGGACATTTTCTTTTGAGTAAAATATTTCTGGAATTCGCATGCTGTTCATACATTTAACTGTTTCCTGGACTATGATCAGTGGAATTTGGGTTTCTTTACAAAAGGGTTTTCATTTTGAATTTAGTGGGGTTTGATGTGGAATTCTGGTTTTGAGAACACTGCAAGAAATGCAGAATTTTGATGAAGGAGAAGAGGAGGAGGTGTTCTTCGATTCAATCGAGTGTTTGTCATTGGAGGCGGAGGAATCTGGGTATGATCTTTGGTTGAAAGAGCCACAGAGTGTGAAGGAAAGACGAGAGAGATTTCTGCGCAAAATTGGGACTACTTCAGAACCAGAATATAAGTTTGTAAGTGGTTCTGAACCTATGGTTTCAGAGAGGATTCATGAGTGCTCCAGTGGAGCAGAATGTAGTAGTAGTAGCTCTTCTGCTTCTTCACCTGTTGCCAGAAGAGAGGAAGCTTTATCGTGTGCCGGGAGAGATTGCAGCAGCGATGCTCGTTCTTCAGTTGATGATGATCTTGCTGAAAGTGCCCCCCCTCCCCCTGCCTTGAAAACCAAGAAGAGGAGATGGTGGAAAGCCTTGCTGCATAAGATGAAATGCAGAAATGGTGCCACTGATGTATCCGAGAAGGCGCCCACAGGGAAAGGAGGTCTATTAAAGGTGCATCAGAGCAGGAAAAAGTTCATGGAATTCACTGCAATATATGCTGGACAAGAGATTGGGGCTCATTGTGGCCTAATTAGGACAATCAAGTTTAGCCCTGATGGGCAGTACTTGGCAAGTGGCGGTGACGATGGGGTCGTTCGCATTTGGCATGTCACCGCCATTGATGCCTCCTCCCAGCTTGTCAGGCGCACCACCGTCTCCAGTCCCCACCATCGAACCAAGAAATCATCTCCCAGCACCGCTAAGCTCCCCGAGAAAATCTTCCAAATTGAAGAAACACCAATTCATGAGTTCCATGGCCATACTGCTGGAGTTTTGGACCTTTCATGGTCCACAACCAATGTGAGTACTCGAGTGAATTCAAGAAACAAGGAAATCCTTCTATCTGTTCTTGATATCAATTAAACTTTGTGCTGTATTTCACTGCAGTCTCTTCTCTCTGCATCTAAAGATAACACCGTTCGTTTATGGAAAGTCGGGTCTGATGAATGCCTTGGCGTCTTCCATCATAGTAACTATGGTATAAACATCCTAGCTAGCTTCATTTTTTGCAGTTGCTTTTGTATTACCTTAATTTTAACACTGACTTGAGCTCTACTTTCGTACCAGTAACGTGCATCCAATTCAACCCCGTTGATGAAAACTTTTTCATCAGTGGATCCATAGATGGAAAAGTACGCATTTGGCGAGTGACAGAAAAGCGAGTTTCTGACTGGGCTGATGTAGAAGATATAGTATCTGCTATATGTTACCAGCCAAATGGCAAGGTATGCATCAAATTACATACTTCGATTAGTCTAGTGCAGCCGTGCATGGTGGTAATTATAAACTGATTATGTATTTGCAGGGTTTTATAGTTGGTTCTATATCTGGTATCTGCAGATTCTATGAACAAGGTATGCTATTTTCATACAAGGTTGTCTTGTTTTCTGTTCCTTTTCGACGTTTTGTTTCTTAATATTTCTTAACCTCTATGTTCTTTATACAGGAATTGAGCTTTCCTTAGATGCCGAGATACACATTGGTGGTAGAAAGAGATCAAACAGCAACATGATCACTGGCATTCAGGTTTTACTCCACTTTCTAACTTCATTTCATAACCTGCAAATTCTATAGTCATAACAGCAGACCACCATTTCGAATTGCAGTTTTTGTTGAATGATTCTCAGAGAGTCATGATTACATCTGGGGATTCTAAGATCCGTATTCTTGATGGGCACGAGGTTGTCTGTAAATACAGAGGTAAGAAACGATCTGTTACGTCCTCAAATGCACATAAATGTTCTGCTTTCAATAACATCAAAACTTTTTTTCCCTCGAATTCAACAGGTCTGTCAAAATCTGGAAGCCAGATGTCAGCTGCATTTACCTCGACTAGAAAACATGTAATATCCGTTGGGGAGGACTCTCGCATTTATCTCTGGAACTACGAGGATACGAGCTTCCAAGAATCGAAGCAAGTGAAGTCAGAACGTTCGTGTGAGCATTTCATGTGCAAGAGTGTTTCTCTGGCAATACCTTGGATCGGGCAGGGTGCAAGAAAAAACGACTTAATAAGCCGTGGGAGTTCCAAATCTTGGTCACAGATGCAAGAACAACAACAGCAGCAAGACGCCATGCCTAAGATTCGGGATTCAGAAAGGTTCTCCCTGGGAAGTTGGTTCTCCATGGATATCTCATCCCGGGGCTCTGTTACATGGCCTGAGGAAGTTCTTCCTCTGTCATCTTCCCATGTACCAACTGCAGAAAACGACGATAATCAACGACAACGGGTGCAGGATTATAAGACTCAGATTCAGAACAGCACGCTGCAATCTCCGGCCTGGGGTCTTGTTATTGTGACTGCTGGCTGGGATGGGAAGATCAGGACATTCCACAATTATGGATTGCCTGTTAGGATTTAGGAGTTTTGGTCTGCTTCACTAAAGATCTCTCAACGCCAAATCACAAATCGAAAATGCATATATCAAGTGTTTAATTTGTAAAGTTCAGTAGATTCCATCCAGTTCATTGATACAGTGTATACTCGAGCTTTAGCAGAATGTTAATAATCTTATACTATTCATTGCTGCAAGCCTTAATTCATATCAAATTTTATCAGCTGAATATTGCTCCAAAAAAATATATTATGTAGGAAAATACTATATAGATTAAAACTTTCATTTCTTTCTCTTAATTTCTACTCCCTTTTACAAATTCTTGAGCCAGACACTTTTACAAGTACTTACGGAACTAGGAAAATTTCACATTTGGTCCCTTGATTATTGTACATGTATCAAATTTGGTTATTGACTATTAATATTTTCAAATTAAGTGCATGACTATATAATTTGTATCACATTTGGTTCTTGACTATTAATTTTTAAATTTGGTGTATGAGTATGTAATTTGTATCACATTTAGTCATGCCGTCAAATTTTTCAGCCAATTATTGTCAAAATTTCAACTAGAAAAATAATATGTTCTAATTAAAAGGGTATTTTTGGCCAACTAGGGCTGAAAAATTTATTTTTTTTTCGTTGAAATTCTGGTAATAGTTGGCTGGAAAATTGGACGGCTGAATCAAATGAGATACAAATTACATAGTTATCATCTAATTTGAAGATATTAATAGTCAAGGACCAAATGTGATACAAATTACATAGTTATGCATCTAATTTGAAAATAGTGTTTTTACTTATTTTGGTCCCTTGACTATGGTTCATTCTCAATTTTGCATTCCGACTTTTAATTGCACCCAATGTGGTCCCTTGACTTTTAAAAATTACCTCGATTTGGTCCCCCGTTACCTTTTCCATCAATTAGGTGTTAAGTTTAGGGGTATTTTGGTCATTTTGTTGTATTTTGGTATTTGTGGTTTCTGGTCCTCCGTTACCAAAGCTCCTCACATCTCTTCAACCCAATGGCTCTGTTTAGTGTTCACTTTCGCAATTTGAGACTTGTGTGCTCTGTTCATAATGATTAAGATAAACATAACCATAATGATTAGGAACAATAAGAAAAACATAACCATAATGATTAAACCACTCACCCACCTAACAGATGTTCCATGGGGGTACATATCCATCACAAGCTTTGTCCAAGATGTCGCATTACTATCTAAAAGATCTCTGCCCACTTTGCTCTGATAAATTGTAATGACTACACTACCATTTTTGCTTGAAGCAAGTTGCCTTTGCTTGATCATTCAACATCAAGATAAGCAACAGAAAAATTCAATAATTATTATCTGATTATTGAAGAAGCTTTCTGGCCTTGTAACACTTTACGTAATCATATAAGATAACATAATTCTTCCCAAATTCATTAAATATCTCTTTCTTTACATATATGTATACACAATCAGAAGGATAGTTTTCTTACTTTGAGGCCACTGACGGACAAGGCACCTGCCTCATTCATAGCCCTCATTGCGTCAAGAACATACCTATATTTTTCCATAAGAAAAGGGAAATTAGGTTAAAGTTGTCCTTAGAATCGAAACCTTTCCATACTATGGGCACTCCAAACCAAGGGCAATGTAATGCAATAATGATGGATATAAAACAAAAAAAGAAAGACAAAAAAATTACCCAGGAGAAGAGCCAGAAGTGATGAAATACTGAGCCAGTGTAACAATAAACAACAATAAAAAATTCTCCTTGGCTTTTCCATTAACGACAAAATAGTCCGGCGACCAGATTGTTCTTTGGCTGTTGTTGTTCGAAGCGGTGACTCCACGAAGGTTTTCTAGTATTGCCGGCGACTTCACGAAGGTTTTCTCCGGCAACTTCCACTAAGTCTTCTCTCCGTTTTTCGTCTATTTTTCTGTTGTTTTCATGGCCGGAAAAGGGAAATCGACTGCTCCTCAGTCGGTTGAGCCTTCTATCTCCCGTTCTCTGGGTTCGAAGAATACCCTTTCTGTCGTCGGCCTTGGAGTTGATGCTGTTAGCGTGAGAAACAGAGCACCCAAGCCTGCGTCCATCCCCGTTGGTCCCTTTCATAATTCCAGAAAGCTTGAAGGTGTTGAATGCCTTCTCAAGGAGTTCAACACCAAAGGTGTGGCTGACCTCGGGGTTGAAGATGTATTTGTGTTCGAAGAAGAGAAATCTTTCTGCCTTCTTGAAGATGTATTTGTGTCAGAAGCTTAGAATGAACGAATGGAGATCGTTGATGGCCAATTTGCAGTCGGAGTCGAGGCCATAGCGCACACCTCCTGTCGACATTTCCATACCCTGTTTTTCTCTGAAACCTTTGAGCTTAATTTGCTCCGAAACCCACAAAAAAAAACACGATGAAATGACCAAAATACCCCTAAACTTAACGCCTAATTGATGGAAAAGGTAGCGAAGGACAAAATTGGGATCATTTTTAAAAGTCAAGGGACCACATTGGTGCAATTAAAAGTCGGAATGCAAAATTGAGAATGACTCATAGTCAAGGGACCAAAATGGATAAAAACTCTTTGAAAATATTAATAGTCAAGGACTAAATTTGATACATGTACAATAGTCAAGGGATCAAAAGTGAAGTTTTTCCAATGAAAATATTTTATCTTTGGTTGCCACATCATAAAAGTAAAAATGAGATAGTAGAATTTGAGAGTACATATAATGAAAATATTACGTGCGCATTTACCTACCGGATTGGATGAGTACTGAAATAAGAAGTGATGGGGTGTGGACCCCGGCCCAAGAAAAATGAGTACAAAAGGAGAAGCCCAAGAGGAAGGGAGAAGTCCAAGAAGGATGAAGAAGCCCAAGAAGAATAAAATACGGCCCAAGGAGTGGGAACTCGAATAAGTAACAAGGCCCGGAAGAGACTAAGGCCGAGTCCAGGAGTCGGCCCGAGCCTAAGAATGGGACAAGGACTCGGCCGGATCAGTAAAAGAGTCGTTGCGCGGCATTTATGACGGCATTGAAGAGCTCGGTCAATGAGCCGTTGGGAGGCCTCGTAACGACAGCCCAACGGCCCTATAGCGTAATTAGCACTTAAGACCCTTAATGTACTTAAAGTCGAAATAAAGGAGGGCTCCCTATATAAAGGCCCCTCCGAGAGTGTAGAGGGGAGGCGAGTCCATGCCCAAAGAATAGAGAAACACTTTTCCACTTTTATTCAACTAACCCTTTCCATTTTATTAAAGCTTTGTTGAAAGGTGAATCCACCAACTAAGGTTGTGTTGGACTTCCCTGGGCCCAAAAACCCAAAAACTAACACTGGCAGCGTCTGTCGGGATCGAAACAAAGGGTCACGTTTGCTCCTGAGCAACAGAGTTCACAAAGGAAGAGAGACGAACAGGCGAGAGAATGTCTGAAGAACGGAGTCGTGCCCCCGACCGCCGCCATGAGCCGGAAGCCGACTTGAGAGATCAGCTGAACCAACGAAATGCGCAAAGTCAAGAAAATGATTCGGCGCCCAAAAACCGAACCCCGCCGATGATACCTCTCACCCCAGAGCAGCTTCGGCCTGTGGTCTTGTTATTGTGACTGCTGGCTGGGATGGGAAGATCAGGACATTCCACAATTATGGATTGCCTATTAGGATTTAGGAGTTTTGGCCTGCTTCACTAAAGATCTCTCAACGCCAAATCACGAATCGAAAATGCATATATCAAGTGTTTAATTTGTAAAGTTCAGTAGATTCCATCCAGTTCATTGATACAGTGTATACTCGAGCTTTAGCAGAATGTTAATAATCTTATACTATTCATTGCTGCAAGCCTGAATTCATATCAAATTTTATCAGCTGAATATTGCTCCAAAACCAATATATTATGTAAAAAAAAAAAATACTATATAGACTTTTATTTCTTACTCTTAATTTCTACTCCCTTTTACAAATTCATAATCTGGATACTTTTACAAGGACTTACGAAAATAGGAAAATTTCACACTTGGTCCCTTGATTATTGTACATGTATCAAATTTGGTCATTGACTATTAATATTTTCAAATTAAGTGCATGACTATATCATTTGTATCACATTTGGTTCTTGACTATTAATTTTAAAATTTGGTGCATGGCTGATAAGTGTCAAAGACACCTAGTTTTAGTGTCCCATTTAGGTGCATTTTGAGCTAATTATGGTCCTTGTGTACCATGTTTAGGTCATTCAAGCTAAGTTTGTGCATTGTGCTATAAAATATCACCACACTTTGTATTTTATGATTTTGTAGGACAATTGGCTAAAAACGAGGCAAAGTGGCATAGGACAGAACAAAGTGGGAAAAGGAGACAAGCTGAGGCCAAGACAGGAGGCACAACGCACATTGTGACATCCGTTGTGGAGAAACAGGAAGATCCACGAATGGCACAATGCACGTTGTGACGTGCGTTGTGGAGAAACAGAGAGTTCCACGAATGGCACGATACACGTTGTGACGTGCGTTGTGGAGAAACAGAGAGTTCAACGAACGGCACAACGCACGTCGCAGGATTCGTAGATCAACAACTTAATCGCACAACGCACGTTGTGACGTGCGTTGTGGCCTTGTGCGGAATTAGTGTAGGGAAAGGCTATTTAAGATATTTTTAGATTCATTTCTAGAGGAGGAGTGGTAGTTTTCGGGAGAGAGTTCTTAGTTTTGGAGTAGAGAGTCAAATTGTAGAGAGAGAAACACCTAGATTTAGAGAGTTCTTTAGATTTCCATTGAAGATCAATTGAAGAAGGAGGTCGACAACCTCCTAATCAAGAGATCTTAGCAAAGCTTGTAATCTACATTGGTACATTTCTATTTCTACTTTTCTATTGCTTTCATATGTTTGATTTCATGTTTTCAATGTTGATTGCTATGTTTGGCTAGAGTAGTTAGGGATTGAATTGTGAAGTGATTGATTATGATGCCTATGTGACTTAATTCTTGAATTGGGGATTGAATACTTGCTATGTTTGAAGTCTTGTTGTTAGGGTTTGATTTGTAAGAATCCTATGGAGCTAGGTCACCTCCTAGGGTTGTGCTAAGCAAGTGATTTAGGCAAGAGATTGCTCGATCACTTGAAGCTTCTAGCCTTGACATTTTCTAGCTTCATAATCCAATGTGGATTGGTTAGAAAGGTAGTATAGGCAAGGTGTTCGAGGAATGGTCAAGGCGACTCCAAGAGCCCGACATAGGGAATTCTAGTGTCTCCTAGATAAATCCTAGTAGTTGAAAGACGAAAGGAGAATAGCTTTCTCCCTAGGCTTAGCATATGCAATGTTCCTTTCCCATGTCAAATGATCCTAGGTGCATCATGATCATCACTAGCAATTCAACCCCTATTTCCTTTATTTGTTACTTCATTTTAGTTGTTTGTTGTTTGAAACCTACCAAGACCATATCAAATATTGCGTGACATTCCCTCAATCGTATGCAAACCTCCTTCCTAGTGTTGACAATGCAAGGCTACTCCGAACGGCCATCCTTTTAAGAACAATAAATCCGGGAGTCATCCCACAAACTTTTGACGTTAAAGCTAAGAAAAAGAGGAACACGAAAATAAAATAAAAGAAGGAAGAAAGAGAAAGCTTTGTCAAAAAAGGCGTTGTTGCTGGGGATGGCAATACGTGCTAGCTAAGCGTTGTTAATGTGAGATAGTGTTTGTGTTTGATTGGGTTTTCATTGTGTTTGTTTTTCTTTTTCATATTGCTTGATTTAACTCTTGCCAACTACTTTTAGTTGTGAGGAGGAAAATTTTGTTGACTTCATTTCTAGGATTGGATGCACACAAGATCAATGGGAAACTTAGGACTTGTGCCTTTGGTACCCGAAAAATCAATAGAGCAATACGGAAAAGAACAATTCGTGAATCTATTCCATTGAATGAGATGGCCTCTTCAAACGGCCAAAATCAAAGGAGCGACATTAGGAAATCCTATGCACACACCACCTATGAATCACCAAGGAGGAAATGCTTTTGGGGAAGCCCATAGACCACAAGAATGACCACTTCAACGACAAAATGTCAACGGAGGTCAAGCCCAACCGGATCATGTCGGGGATGAGGAGTTCTATGATGCTCCACATGGAGAAAGAGGAAGGTCCATAGCCGATTACATGATACTGGAGTTCTGAATGCACAACTCCATTCGAGTTCCACCATTGGAGAACGTAAACTTCCACATTCACCCGGCGGTCCTTAGTTTGGTGCAAAACAACCCGTATGGAGGAACACTTTCGGAGGATCCACACACTCATATTACTCGGTTTATTAGAGCTTGCAGAATGTTTAGGCAAGAAGGCGTGCCCGATGAAATTGTTAGACTAAAGTTGTTTCCATTTTCACTTGCAGGAGAAGCATTACGGTGGTTGGACGCACAAGATGATGACCATTTTAGGTCATGGGCACAATTGCACAAAGAATTCATGAACGAATTCTTTCCCTTGACAAAGACTATGAAAATTCGCAAGCAAGTGCAAGAGTTTAAACAGGGTTCATTGGAAAGCCTTGGAGAAGCTTGGCGAAGGTTCAAGTCTTTAAGAAGACAATGTCCACCGGATTTACTCCACCCTTGGGACGTCATAAGCTCGTTTTATGGAGGCCTAACAGATGAAGGGAAGATGCTCTTAGATTCATCATCAAGTGGAGCTTTCGTTTCATCTTATCTGACGGATGCCGAAACCCTTATTGAGAGAATCTCGTCCAATACTTCATTTTCGTACAACAAGCGTGATACCAATGTCAGGATGTATGAGGTTAAAGAAAGAGTAGCTCAAGAAGCAAAAGTTGATGTCATGACACAAGAAATCAAGAAATTGCAAGCTATGGTTGAGAAATTGGAAGCCAATTCCCAACCATGTATGGCATTGGCTTTATATTGCAGCATTTGCGGCGATCCTCATGATACAAACATTTGTAAATCCTCCATTCACATTGAGGAAGTGGAAGCGGTGAACTACCCACAACCTCAAAGAGGCAATGGTTGGGGAAATGAGAATGCGAATTGGAAAATGGGAAGCGGATGGCAAAACACAAGCTACCAAGGAAGACCCTAAGGAAAGAACACATATGGCTCGGGAATAGAAAGAGGAAGGCTCACTTATGGTCCTCAATACAACCAAGGACCATCAAATGCTCTTTACCGACCCCCGGTGAATCTTCAATGCAAAAGAGTGAAGCAAAGGATGTGGAAGAAAAGTTGACAAAGGCGATCAACGATTTGAAAAGAGATCAGGGACTCTTGAGGCAAGAAATCACTCAAGAGATTAGACAAGAGATCGCCACGATTAGGTAAGAGTACACAATGTCTGTGAAGAATATCGAAACTCAAGTGGCCCAAATGTTCCGGATGATGTCGGAACGGCCATGGGGAGCCCTGCCTAGCACGACCGAAAACAATCCCAAAGAGCGAGTCAATGCCGTTACAGTTATAAGCCCGAAGGAAGTGAGAAAGGATGCAATGGAATGGATTTGCGAGAAAGATGATGCTTGTAATGTGAAAGTCAACAAGGAAGAGATCACCTCTTGTGATCTACCAAAAAAGGAAGGGAAAAGGGACATCTCTTGTGCCCTTAATGAGAAAGAAAAAGAAGCCCTACCACCAAGGAGCAAAGCACAAGCGGTTCCAAAAGCAAAAAAAGGATTGACACGGAGGCATTGGAAAATGGAAGGGAGGTCACCTCTATTCTTAACACTCTTCATTGTGCTTGCTTAGTTAATGAAGATTTTGATAGTGTTGATGAGGAGGTTGTACCTCAAGTTTTTTAGGAGAAGAAGCATCGACCCTAATCCACAAGGGAAGCCCTACAAAAATGGGGGATCCTGGAGCTTTTGTTGTTAATTGTGCTATTAAAGATTGTGGGTTTAGGAATGCTTTGGCTGACCTCGGAGCCTCTATGAACATTATGCCCTTTCATGTGATTAAACGGGTAAAACGGCTCAAGTTGCCTTATATTTCTCCCACACCACTCATGGTTCAGTTAGCCGACGAGACCGTAAGGTGCCCACGAGGGGTGGTGGAGGACGTGCTTGTAAAGATTGATGAAAATTATGTGCCGGTAGATTTTGTAGTGCTTGATGTAGGAGATTTGGATGTACCTTTGATCCTTGGAAGACCTTTCTTGGAAACTTTTCGTGCTCTCATTGATGTGAGCACATGTAAGCTAACATTGGGAATAAATGACGAAGAGCCAAATGAGATAGGAAAGCTACAAAAAGAGAGCGTTTGTGTTGCAAAGAAGAAAGTGAAGGCGAAACCTAAAATCAAGCCATGGTGGGAGATCAAAAAGGTGTCTTGGGTACCTAAGTGCCTAAAGACGAATGGTTTTGAAGGGTTTTGAGAGAAAGACAATGACGTCTAACCAATGACGGTAAACGTGGCGCTGCTTGGGAGGCAACCCAAGGTTTGCTTTAGTTTTCATTGTTTGATTTTGATTTTTGTTGTAATAAGAGCTTATGTGAAAAATGTCTATAGTTTTGCCTTTGTGTGGAATTTGGAAGCTAACTTTGTAGGGATCGAAGATTGATGATGGCTAGAAAATGGACAAAAGAAGGGGAACATTGAAGTGAAGAAAAAATGAGAAAAGGCAAAAGAGGAGGCCACAACGTGTGCACAACGCACGTTGTGGCACACGTTGTGCCAATCCAGTGAGATCAACGAGGAGCAGGGCAGTTCACAATGAACATTGTGTAAAACGTTGCGCAAATCTAGAAAGTCCAATGCAAGTGGCAACGAACATTGTTGCATTCGTTGTGAGGACGACGAGGGTGCAACGAACGTTGTGAAAATGAGGTAAAATTCTAGTAACATCAACGAAATCCACAACGCACGTTGTGGAATTCGTTGTGCCATTCCAGTAACATCTACATAGGCCACAACGAACGTTGTGGAGTTCGTTGCGAACTAAGCTGCGAGACAACGAACCCGACAACGCACGTTGTCCAGTTCGTTGTGCGTCCAGAATGCAGGGTTTGGATTTAAAACCCTCTTAATCCCCTCATTCTCTCATTCCCACCCTCTCACAACGCACATCTCTCCTTCTCTACAAAAAGGTACTCATCTTCCTTCAAGGTTACATCATCTTTTTGTGGTTTCAAAGAATCAAAAGCTACAAAAATGACTCAACCAAGTGGATGTAATCTTTTTAGAATTCAAAACTCCATTAATGAAGTTCAAGTTTTCTCTCTCTAGGATTGAGAATGCTAGACTATGTTTTGTATGAAGTTTGATGGTTACAATTGCTTGAATAGAGTAGTTATTACATTTGAGACATGAATTTGTGCTTATTTATTGATTGTAGGCCATTATTGATGAATTTGGAATACATGCATGAACCCTAGATGGAAATTTGGGGAAAATTTTATGAATTGAGTTATATGTCTCTTGTGATATGAAATTGATGATGGGAAACAACAATTGCATGTTTTGCATGACCAATGGTGCACAGTATGATTGAATGCTAACACAAATCCATGAATTACACACACCCACTTGTGAATTATTCCATTGTTTGAGTGAAGAAGATGAGGTTGACTATTTGACTTTGTTAAATTGAGCATGAATTGTGGAAATTTTGATGAATGTACTATAATGTAGTCTTCTTTGTCGAGTTTTGTGTTGGGAAATAGACCAGAATATAAGGGAAACTATGGAAAAATTTTTGTAAAGTTTGGTCACCCCTTGTGCATATTTTTGAAAAATAGGAAGGGGGAAATAAGTGGGAAGTGTTTTGCTAGTGTGTGGCATGTTGTCTTGATTGTTATCATGTACAATTGGGAAGATAATATCTTGTTGTGTGCAATTGTAGGACCATTCAAGAGAAAGAGAAAGGAGATGGCTCAAAAGAAGAAACATGATCGTCCTACTTCGAGCCGAATTCAAGAAAATGACTCAAACACAGATGAAGAATGGCTTGCTGAGGATGAGATGGAGGAAATGAATGAGCTAGCCAGTGCAAGGAGGCTAAATTTGGAGGCGAAACAATTGGCCGCAGTTGAAGAGCTTTGGAGACTTGAGGTGTCCAGGGGCAAGTATTTTGACATGCCTTTATTGGACTCCTTCGGTTGTAGGGAGGAGGTAGAGAACCTCATCAACCACCCACAATGGAGCGTCATATTCGGGATGAGAGGAAACACTTATGCACCGGTGGTGTATGAGTTCATTGCTACCCTCAACTTCGGCAAGTCCAACTTCGAAAATAACAACAAGTCCATCAAATTTACTATCTTTGGCAAGGAGCATTTATTGTCCATCAACGAGTTGGGACTTTATGTGGGAGCCCACACCCGAGAGGAGATTAGTTCAAGCCGCTTTGAGAGATACCTCACCGACCTCAACACATCTCAAGAGATGAAGGATTTCTGGAGAGAAATCTCGGATGAGAGAAGCTTTGACTCCAACAACACCAACTCCAAAGCCATTAAATTGAACGAGATGAGGGCCATCCGGTATACATTGGCGGTGACATTCACCGGAAGGAAGTCCAACTTGCACAAGGTTTACCATGCGGATCTATTTGATCTTTGGAGCATGAGGGAGAAGAAAAATGTCAACATGGGCGTGCAAGTGAAGAAGTGGCTCAAAGCCCAATGCACCAGGAAATGTCCTACCATCTTTGTTGGTCTCATTCTAACAAAGTTAATTTTGGCCTAGGGTTGCAAGCGAAGCTCAAGAGGGAGAAAATGGTCGGGGTCAATGACCACTCTCACCATGTCGGATTTCTTGAAGGCCAAGATGATAAAGGAAGTTGCACAAGTGCAGGAGGAAGAGGAGGTTAAAGAAGAACACAACCCGTTGCCACCACCGGAAGGATATGAGCAGCTACCACCGATGTATGAGGTTCCCGAGGACGTCCCTCAAGTCTACAATTGGGCATCCATGCGGGCATTGACATATCAATTCCATCAAGAGAATATGGCGATGCATAGGGCGCACGATCGAGAGTTAGAGGAGCTCCGGCCTCAATTCAACCAACAATTCCATCCATTCCCTCCAAATGAGTGAAGCCCCAAGAAAGTGAAGGAAAGAAGAGCCCCGTTTCATGCAATGACATTTGACATTTGGATACTTTGACAATTTTATTTGCTTATTTGGTTTATACTTATATTTGCTTGCATTTACATTTCGTATTTCTAGTACTTTGTTTCTTTTAATTCTAGTTTTATTGCTTTATTTGATTTACTTGTTTATGAGCTTTGCATAAGTATCTTGATACATGGAGTAGTTAGGTATCTCTATATTCATATGTCTTCATTAGGAATTGTCTTAGTTTTAGTTCTTTTACATTGTTTACTTACTTAATTGAAAAACAAAACAAAAAATCTAAAAAAAGAGAAAAATACAAAAAGAGATAGCAGGAATAAATAGCTTTACTATCCAATTTTGTGAGCCATGCTTGTGCTTATATTTCTTATGCCACTAACAAATGTTGTGAAGCTTGCCATTGGAAGGGGCAAAGACAATTGGTTTTCGAAAAAAGGGATTCGCACTACACTTGGTGATACCTTTCTATCCCTTGACTTTTGCACCCTTATGATTCATTTTTAAAGTGAGGAAAAAAAATTGCTTTGTTATGCACATGCTTGAATGGCCACTTATTCTTTCACAAAGGATTAGATCTTCATTTGCACCCAAGTCCCGTAAAGATCCTAAAGTGTGGAAAGGGACATGCACTTTTGCTTGAGACCGTTGTTTTCTTTTCCACTTGCACTTAAGGTAACATCGGGGACGATGTTAATTTTAAAGTGTGGAAAAGGAAGCACGTTGTGCTTAAATGTCTTTTGTTGCTTAATTGATTCAATGGTGCTTGATTGATGAGTGTGTTGGATATGGAGAGTGTGTCGTTGTTCATATCATGTGATAAATGTGATAGTGATGTGCCCGTACAAAAAAGTTTTTATTCTTGGAATATCCTTTGGAATTTACCTTTTCTTACACCCAAATGAGGAATTGCATAGAAAACCATTTAGGTTTACATTTGATGCATGTTTGTATGAATTCACCTCCTATCTTGCTTAGACCTTAGTAAACGATCTCTCGAAATGGGAATGTGTACTCTTCAACCTTGGAAAGATAAAAAGATGCAAGGTTGGAAATGAACTAAATCTTGGTAAGGTATGGGGTAAAAGGTGAGCCTTGTAGTGAGAATGAAAAAAAAAAATCCCTAATCCCAAAAAAGAAAAAGCATGAGTGAATGAAGTAGGGGAATGGCGAACAGAAAAAGGCAAAGACCAAAAAAAAAAAAAAATGGCCATTCCATGAGATAAGAAAAGAGGTAAGCCATCTCTCTAGGATTTGGGGCAATTCCATTGCACTGTCTTCAAAAAAGCGTAGAACTCTACGTGAAGTCGGTTGTCCCAATGGCGATGTCTTAGGAAATGAGAAAAAAGAGAGTAAAAAGAGGGAGTCATTGCTTATTTCGGGATCAAAAAAGATTCCCTCGGGCTAAAACGTAGAGATATATGCCGCAGGAGTCGATCTTTGGCATAAGGGTGGAGGTGAGAGAGGACCAATGCTTAAGTTGGGACCGTGCAAAGTTTCCCCGGGTTACAACACATAGCTCTGTCACTACAAGAAAAATCCTGATTCGCGACGGAAAAATTCTGTCGTGAAAACGCCAAATTTCGTCGCAAAACGCAATTTGCGACGGAATTTTACATTTTCGCGACGAAATCCATTCCGTAGTGTCAAGGCTTGTCATATTTCATTTCGCAACGGATTATTTTCGTCGCGAGCAGTGGCGACGGGAAATGGTGACAGAATTTTTCGTCGCAAAGTAAGCGACGGAAACCATTCTGTCGCGAGTCCGTCGCAGTTTTGGCAACGAAAATGTTTGTTTTGTCGCCATCGCGTGAAAAAAATACTCCGTCGTGGAATTCATATTCCGTTGCATATTTCTGTCGTGAAATATAACGACGGAAATAATTATTGTCGCGATTCCGTTGCTAGCATTTCCGTTTCAAATTTTCTATTCCGTCATAAAATTCTGTGGTAAAAGAATGACGGAACAAATTGTCGTCGTGATTCCGTCGCTAACGTTTCTTTGCGAATTTTATCTTCCATCACAAAATTTCATCGTTAGAAAACGACGGAACAAATTTCCGTAGTGATTCCATCGCTCGATATTCCGTTGCAAAGTTTGTTTTCTGTCATAACATTTCGTTATACAAAAAATAACGAAACTATTCACTACCATGATTCCGTCGCATCGTTAAAATCATATTTTATCGCAATTCTACTAAATTATTATTTTTTAAATATTTTTTAATTATTATTATTTTTTAAAATTCTAATAGTTGTATTTAAAATATTAATATGCAAACTAAAATATAATATAATTTG